GATAGCCTATGTACCATGTATTTTTGAGGTTCCTAGAGCGCAAGTTTGATCAATAGATAGGTCTTTGGAGATCGCCTGTAGCGTCTGAACCATGGTAGATGGAGATGTCCGTCTTGCACCAGGTTGGAAAGCGACTACTCTATACCCACATATATTTAGAGCAATATCTCAACATTTGGATTTTTGGAATGACAGGCTCGGACTTTTTGCTTCGAAAGGTGCATCGTGGTAGACCTGTCGGATAAGACTCATTTTAGCATAAGATTATGCCCCCGGGTGCCCTCTTTGATAATCTCAAAACTGCAGCTGTTTAGCTCATTCCGTTCTCGAATTATTCAAAAAATATTCAAGTTCATTGTATTTTGGCGCCGATAGTAGTCTAGTCTTTTAAAGATCTCTCAAAATCCTGCTTTCGGTAAAGATTTCAAAATTTATTTGCTTACGAAAAGACGTCCCGCAACAGCCACACTCGTGTATGTCTTTTCGTTTAAAAGTTGTTCTAAAAATATCCAACTGCATTTTATTCTGAAATGTAGAGTAGCTATGTCACAGAGAAGGCTAAATTTTAAGAGAATAAAGTGACTGACAGTCGGGAAAATTTTTTTCCCATAATCACGAATGTTAGCATTATATAACTTAATAGCGGAGAAAAGATTTGATTGGAGTTTTTATTTTCAAAATTTTCACTCACACCGTACAATACCGCGCAAATCGCACATATATATCATTATTAAGATAAAAATATCATTAAAATATTACAATTTCAGAAAAAGCAGTTTTCTAGCTTTCAAAAACTTTGAGAAACTTTTCACATTGGCAAAAGTAGTACGGACTCTGAAAGGAGATATCTTAGGCTGTCGAACCATGTGTTTAACTCAATATCGACTTTTTTTGAAAAAATCTATATTTCTTACAGAGAAGGCCTTAAAGTAGATGTGTGAGAGATTGTTTGTACCCAGCAGCCTATCCGATCCCATATGGAAGAATCGGACAAAGAGTGAAGTTAGAGATGATTTCTACTGCAATGGCAGTCCATCTTCTGCATACAATCGATCAAAAAATAACAAATACACATATTGTATTTCGGCAAGACATCATATATTAACAGCATAATATCATGAAAGACCTTCAGCACTCAATAACTATCTTTTTTGTTCTAATAACTTTCTATAAAAGAGTAAGTTATCCTATGTTTATAAGCCATTTTTACGAGTTTGTTGTATATCTGAAGTCATTTTTACTTTATCTTGTAGTTTATTTATTTAATCTAAACGTTTCAGTGGTGTTTTATACATCGTCTTCAGTAGACAAGTAATTAAGAAAACACATAATTGAGCGATAACAAGTATAAAACTAAAATTCACAACATCTAAAAAGTGAAACAGAATATTGATAAGAATCACTACTTTTCCTTTCTCTCTCGATCTCAACATATGAGTTCTGTTGACGTCAGACGGATTTTCGGCTCTCACGAATAGCCGACGTCTGAATCCTCTTTTCACCCATCTTTGCATGGTTGAAAGTCATTGACTACATATTATTTGTTTATTATTATAAATTCTCAACTATAGTGTTGTAGAAGAACCACTTATAAAAATGTCACTGCTAACTTAATCTGCTACGTAATATAATAATAAACAAATAAAATTTAGTCAATGGCTTCCAATCATACAAAGATGAGTGAAAAGAGGATTCAGACGTCGGCTATTCGTGAGAGCGGAAAATCCGTCTGACGTCAACAGAACTCATAAGTTGAGATCGAGAGAGAAAGGAAAAGTAGTGATTCTTATCAATATTCTGTTTCACTTTTTAGATGTTGTGAATTTTAGTTTTATACTTGTTATCGCTCAATTTTGTGTTTTCTTAATTACTTGTCTACTGAAGAAGATGTATAAAACACCACTGAAACGTTTAGATTAAATAAATAAACTACAAAATAAAGTAAAAATGACTTCAAATATAAATTATTGTACACAGCTATAGTTTTAAGAATATTTGTGAGCTCGTGTTCAGGTAGTTCGTTTGGATTGGGTGGCTTTCATTAAAAAAGCTTGCAGTAAAGCATTTTTCTTAAATAAAAGTACCTGAAGTTTCATTAAAAACTTTTTAGCAGGACTTTCATTAAAATTTTTTAATGGCACATGAATTTTATCTAGTATATATATATATATATGCATATATATCGCTTAGCAAAAGATATCTGCTTCACTTCGTATATATATTGCTCTAATTTTTCCACTTAAATACACCTGTTTTGGGTCATTAACTTGTATTCTACTCACCGAACTTTCATTAAAATGTCTCGTGCAAAGTAACTGTGACTTGGAATTTCATAAAAAACTGTTTGACGGCACAATCAATTCATTTAAAGTTTTAATGAACTTCCCGTTTAATGAAATGTTATTTATAATAGGGGAAATTTTTTTAATGAAACTCCGATATCCCGTTCGTTTTACGAATTAAATAGGATGCTATAAAGTGATAAATAATTTACGAATCTAGTAATTTGTTCACATACGATTCGAAACATTTTCTTTCAATATGCACACATAATTTATCAGTTTTTTCCTTAGCACAATCGGAAATACACTCTACATGTGATCTATGTCATTTTGACTGATAGCAAAACACTGAAATTATAACTACAAAAAACGCATCAAAACTATACCATTTTTAATCATAGATCTTTTCAAGAAGGGAAGTTTTCGTGTTGCGTTTGAACAATTTTTCATTGAAAATCATTGAATTATTTGATGACAAATACTCTAAACAACATCTTCCAGGGTGTGATGTTTTTCTAAATCATCTACGCAGTTGACAGTTGGAGAAAAAACTGCTCAATATTCAGATCCTCAAACGATTTAGAGCATACATAAAAACAGTAGTGTGGCAAATATTTTTTGTGTTAACATTTTATAAAGTGGACGAAAAGTAAGATAATTCTTAATAAACAGTTAACGATCACTGATAGGAAGAAGCATTTCAGTTTAATTAGTTATCAACTAACATTCACCATGAAGAGACAAATTTGCTGTTACTTGTTTTAAAGAAAATATTTTCTAAAACTTATAATCGATATCAGAATTATCTGCAAATGCAATTTAAAGTGGATTAGCGATTCTATATCAGATAAATAAAGAGAAAAAATATGCAAATAGAGTAGATGATACTCTGAATCGTTACCATTAGTTCTAAAATATCGCATAGTGATTAAGGCGCATTCCAATTTCAAACTTAAAGCACTATTTTATTTTTGGGTTAAAGATATACCATTCGATGTAGTGTTTCACGATGATCACGAATATCTTACTTTCAGTCCGGCTAGTGCACATTTTCTACGAAAACAAGTCAAAATATTGAACGGGTCCGCTTTTTTTGAAAAACAGCGACTTTTCACAAATCAGACGACATCTCGATTCCACATGGCTCTGGAACCTTTCAAAAGTATTTTTCGAGATCAGCGTGAAACACTACACACACGTTTGAATTTGGAGCTATAAGTCTATTTTGTGAGATAATTTTAAACTACTTGTCTTTCTTGTTTAGGGTCATTCAAAAAACGTTCATTAAAGGGAAGCTCATTAAAATTTCTAATGAAATTCTTGTGCCATCAAAAATTAGGTCACAACCATTTTGCAGGAGACATTTTAGTGACAGTCCCGGTACTTACTTTCATTATAAACATTTTTAATAAAAGTTCCGGTACTTCCATTAAAAACAAAAGATTTTAATGAAAGTTTTTTTAATGAACGTCACCCAATCCTTATTATTAATAATCAGCTTTATAGATTAATTAGATATCAATCTTATCATAGTCTTTTTTTTCCGCTAGGTAGATAATAAAAAGAAGTCGAGTATATTCTAATTAACTCCGAATATTGGGTCAAAATCTTACAATAAATGTTTTTTTTAATTTATTATTTTATGACTATACGCGTTCAGCGTTTATTAGTTTTTCTTCTAATAATCGTTTTAATGTGAAAAAAAAGAAAAAAATACTAAAGGATAAAGAATAATTTCATAATTTTTATCTTTTCACTGACATATATTCTGAAGATTTCTATGAAATCTTATAGAAATAAAAAACAGGATAGTTTGAGATATTTATGAGCAGACTTATCATCGGGTCACTAGGCATGAAAAATACATTCAGAAAATGACTTTACGGAACTGAAGGAGATAAAAAATCGAACGGATTGAAGTGTAACAGCTGTTAGTAGTGTATGCATTCTGAACGTTAGCCACTCTTGTGCCGCAAAACTGTAAAAGATTTAAAAATTTATAATTTTAACTGAATTAGAAGTGCATAGGTATTTATCTTTTTATACACCTGGGATATGGGAATTTTGAGACTGTCCTTTTTCGTCCTTGGTCTTCCGGACATTCGACCAAGTGACCGGATGCTTGAAATCGGGTCTATATAGCGTAAATTCGTTTTTCCGGATGTTTGGAATGAAAAGTAAGGGAAAACGATCGGATGTTCGTAACAAAACGTGAGGGATTATTACGAACATCCAGACATTTTTGTGTACAAAAACACTAAGAAACCTTGGCTTATGCCGTTCCGTACATCCAGACCACTTTCCTTTCGAACTTCCGGATTATTTTTATAATACAAATATTGATTATGATATAAGTGCTATTTTCTACCCTTTAACAGTCGCTACGTTGTCTAATTTGATATATTTCGACAAACTAGTGACATAGAATGCGTCGGCGATCTGATGATTAGCATTGAATATAGTCATCTCCTGGATCTGGATCTTTCAAGTGATTTGATTGGATCCTTAATGACCTAACTATAGCTTATTGAATCTGTCTACAATTACAGTTTAAATTCAATAGATTTTAAAGTAGATTTTTTCATACTTTTATTCGAAAGCAAAACTGTCTTTACATGTTAGTTTTTAGTGTTTGAGACTTAATATCGATAAACTATTCGAATATGTCTCACTTATCGAATGATATTAATACGATTTTCTTTTTTTTTTGCATAGATAATGTCTCTCCGTGTAGCACCGACAATAGATTCATTGAACAAAATCTATATACAATTGAATAATTATATAGAACCATTAATCATTGTTCTTGGAACAATTGGCAATATAGCAAGTATTTATATATTTACTCGACCATCATTAAAATCACCATGTTCACTGTATTTTCTGGCATCATCCATAAATAATTTTGCCATATTATATTTTGGTATTGTTACTCGTATGTTGGCTGATGGATATGATATTGATCCAACAAGTTATTCACGTTTCTTTTGTAAATTTCGAAATTATTTTTCATATATGATTTATCTTGTTTCTCCATTATTAATTGTTCTTACTACTGTTGATCGTTTTTGTGCTAGTTCAACTAATTCACAAAGACGAAAATTTAGTTCAATCATTATTTCACGTTGGGCCATTGGATGTGTTGCTATATTTGCATTATTATTCTTTATACATATTTTAATATTTTTTGAAATTGATATTAATTCTCATATTTGTCAACCAAAATTAGGTCTATACAGTGATCTACTTGGACTAAGTACATTGGCAATTTATGTTATTGGTCTTTGTTTAATGATGGTTTTTGGTGCATTAACAATTAATAATGTACGAAATCAACGTCGAAGAGTTAAAAATACAAATACAACAAATACTCAAAGTCAACAAGAACGACAAGTTGATAAACAATTATTTATTATGTTATTATTACATATTGCATGTTTTGTTATTCTAGGTTTACCATATGTTATTATGTTAATATTTTCTGGTGTTTTGAGTGCATATAAAACTACTAGTATTTTTATCTTTATTCAAAATATATCTCGTATTTTACTTAATCTTAGTTCAAGTATTCAATTCTATATTTATACATTAGGTTCACGTCTCTATCGTCAAGAATTTTTAAAAGCACTCAATAAACTATCAACAAGATTATTGGGAAAAAATATAATTAATATGAAAAATGCAATAGCATTTAATCAAAGTAAAATTACACAAACTTAAATTATAGTACGATAATGAATAGAGAGTTATTAAGATTAATATTAAATTTTCATTAAAATTTTTAAAATAAACTCTATTAATTATACATAATTTGTAACTTACATACTAATTTGAATATTAAGATGTTACTTTGAAATTATTTAAATATATTTTCAATGATGTATATCAACTTTGTCTATAATTTACTGCTTGTTTGATTATTTCGTTCGTAAAATATTTAGTCATTTATGTTTATTTTAATCATGTATTCACTTGTTTTATGTTAATTTAAATATATATAAATTCATCTTAGACATTCATTAAACATTTTCTCTTAAAAAATGAAAATTATAGGAAGATTTAATATCTGACAATGCATAGTGTTTTAATGAAGTAACGTTAATGTTACCCTTTATCAAAACTGTCATTTGAAATAATCAGGGCTTATTTATGTCTAAAACCATAGGTAATCAACGCTTAATTTCTATGCATTCATAGTTCATTACTCAAATTTGACAAGAGATAGATATATCGACATTTACCTACATCACATAGAGTTTACTGTTGTTTATTAAACAATTTTCAACTGATTAAACTGTTGATAAAATTTGAACACAATTATCAACAGAATAATTCTTAATTCTAAAAAATTCAGGCATATCTGACTGTAACACCGTCGTTAAATATATTGAACATACTATAAAATTTATAAAATTGAGAAAAACTGCAAATTTTTTGCCCTAGTTTTACAGTCATCATCAATCGTATGTCTTGAGCAAGGTCTAAATTCAGCGATGCAATATTATTCAGATGTATCTAACGACAGATCTGTCCTTTCTTCTCTTGCTTTTTATAATAAAAAATGTAAACAAAGTTCAACTTTAGCTAACCAAATTTGAAATTTGATCTCCGCTTGAAGAATCTTCAATCAGCAGTCAAAGTACAATTCGAATCTTATTGCAAATCTAATTCTCACTTTAGCCAAATTGCAAATATGACTACTTGCAATGACAGCTCTTAGTTGTCTGTGGTCATAATCTTCAAGATGTAATATTGAGAATTTATAAGATATGAGACATGAAAAAGCTCATTTGTTCTCAAAGAACGGTTGTTGGGAGTAGTCCGAAACGATAGAGAACACTATCTTTAACTCAAAAGTCGATCTATTATATTCCAGAAGGCGAAAGGGCACTCGTAAATGATTAAAAGACATACGTGCAATAGTATTTTAAGTACACTTCAGTGTATTGTCGGTTCCTTTTGATATGTGTACATGTATACACGAAATATATCTTCCTATTTCTATTCAATATATTCTTGTAGACTAGAGAAGAATTTCGCGACCATTTCAGTATTTGTTGAACACCTTTTTTAATTTTAGAAATCTTTTTGCGTATATTGATCAATTATGTTGTTACCAAGAAGTATCACGGAAGGTATGTTGTAAGAAAGTGATTTTCTATTTGCATTTATATAGAGTAGTGTGAAAAAGTTTTTTTTTGTCAAAAATTTTGACATTTCACAGCTTTGTAGCATACAGAGTCAGCGAGTTACAGTGCTGACAAAGGTTTCGCTTGAAAAAGGCCTTTTCTCCATGGCATTTAGTGTCTAAAACGGAAGATCAATTTTGTCAGCACTGTAGCTCGCTGACTCTGCATGCTACAAAGCTGTAAAATGTCAAAATGCATTGATTATATTCAGTTTTTTGATAATCTTTTCACTATATGGTTCAAATTGTGATAAAACGAAATGATATTATTTCAATTTTTACGTATTTCACAGCTGTAGACTTTGAAATGTGATTTATAAGTGAAATAAGCATAACTTTCCAAATATTCTGCTTTCAAAACCTAGCTGGTGCGTATGAGCTTTTGAGCAGTATAATTTTATTAAATAATAAAAGTAACTAAAACGAACAGGAAAGAAAATGAGTAAAATGATTCTATCATTATTCACAGGTAAAATTAGACTTATTCTTCAACATTTCATGTTTATCATGAAGACGATATTTCGAAATATTTTCAATAGCATATTTGGCAAGAGCAAGCACACTTAAATGTATATATATTCGTACTCATCTTATGTGTCAGAGTTGATACAAGCACCAAAACGCTGAAAACAATTTTGATGATATACTTGATTCTATGCTTTTTCACCGTACTGTAATTAATAGATGCTTTATGCTGTTCAGATGTTTCATGCTGCTCTACCTCGGCAGAACGAATTTATTTTGAGTACACTTCGATATATTGTCAGTTCCTTCTGATATATATATACACGAAATATATCTTCCTATTTCTATTCAATATATTCTTGTAGACTACTCTCTAAAAAAATAGGTTTATTACGAAACCTAAAAGGGTATAGAAAAGTGCGACCATTTCGAAACCGTTTTAGGTTTCGTATGAATCCCTTTTGGGTTTCATACTTCGACTACGAAACCTTTATGTTCATCCAGAACCATAAAAAAAAGGAACAATATGTTAAAGTATTCCGATAAAGTAAGAAACTTATATCCCGATTAGGATATCCAAAAAAGTATATATCACGATCGAGCTATAGGAATATAGCCAGATCGGGGTATCGAAAAATATATATCCCGATTGGATACAGTTTTATATCTATATACCCAACTGGGATATATAGCTTGATCGGGACATATATCCTCATTGGGATATGATTCTTCACTGTCTAATCTCGTTTTTCTAGAAACAAAATGACTTGAAATTATCGATACATATTAAACGTGTTCTAACCGTAAACGATGACATCCGATTATAAACCCCGTAGCTATTTAATGTTAATGGTCGAAATTGTTCTTTGTAATGTACAAAGATTTTAAAACTTCTTTTTATTATGACTGCAGACTAATAGTTTGCGCCATTTATCAAACATTATTCGAAAAACATTCATGTGAAATAGACAATTCTCTATGGAACAATGATTTCAATTTCATCCATCTATATTGTAGAACATGATAAAAACTCATTCAAATGAAATGACATACTATCCGATATAAGGAAAAATATACGTAAAGGGAAATAGAAACTGACAAAGGGCGTGGGAGAATAAGTCAGCTTTTTGGTCCCCGAAATTTTGAAGAAAAACCCATATGATTAAAATCAGTGTTGAATTCTAAATCAAATGACTCAATTAGTAAAATCATGTTTTAATAAAAAATAAACATGATATTCGGAGTTAGTATAAAAAAGTGAGTCGAACGATGTGTATTAAAACTACTTTAAGAAGAAAAAAATAATTGACAATTTCTCCTGGATTCTTCTTTCTATCAAAAAGTTGCCAAACAATTGATATATACATCGTTTGACTCACTTGTTTATGCTAATTTCGAATATCATATTGTTGTTGTTTTTAATTAACACATGGTTTTACCGCCCAAACATCGATTTTTCGTGCTACTTTGGCCATTTTTCTGAGTTTTCCAAGCTTGCTGTTTGCACATAGACTTTTTTTCCATTTTCAATAGAATAATCGGCGAGAGCGTGCAAAACTGTATCGATCTATGTGTTCAAACCACCAGTTCGTGATGAAATGACAACGCAGGAAGCAAATGAAAAGGTTCATATTACAGGAAATGGGGCTTTTTTTGTTTTAGGAGCCGGTTTTCACGATTAAAACCTATTTGAATCAAATATTTTAACATATTTTAATAGAACTCTCGAAGAACCATTGCTTTTGAACGATTCAGGATGCAAAATGATGTCAGGGAGAGCCTGAAACTGAAGCGAAGCTTGAAGTATTATCGATGAGAAATTAATTTTTTTCTCTTTCAAAACACATTTTTATTCAAAAATGAAGCTGATTTTCGTAATCAGTGTGAAATTCTGCGTTGAATGACGCAGCTCTTAAAAGGATGTGAGGAAACATTTTTCGATGTTCCAGAAGAATCACAGAGTGTAAAATTTTCGGAAAAACTGAAAATCTTTTTTCAGAAAACTAAATGAGCCATTTTATTCAGAATTCAACGGTGATTCTAACCATATAGTTTTTTCTTCAATACTTTGGGGATCCAAAAAAATTGGCTTACGTCGTTTAATAACCCAAGCAAAAACGACCCAATTTTTTGGGTTATTTATCTAGATTCAGTTCCACGTGCATCTAGATGTACGTGGAGTTGAATCTAGATAAATAACCCAAAAAATTGGGTCATTTTTGCTTGGGAAGTCGATGGACAACATCTGATTGTATATTCGTATGCAGTAAAAGCTCGGATTTCCTGTCAAAAAAATGTACAGGTTTCTTACCAGTGACTGATTAAAAATATTTTTTCAAAAATTACCGTTCTAAAAGTGTTACTAGAACGTAACGATTTAATTGTTTGCTGTTATCAATTACAATTCTAGAATGAATATTGGCAAGATACCTACTAAAACAAATATTTTCCTACTAGATGTTTTCAAGATATGAACGATTTTTTCAGTAAAACACTTTTACGAAGAATTTTAAAATTTATTTTCTATAGAAATATGCTGTGGAATCTTATTGTCATCGGCTAACAAAATTTTGTTCATCCTCATCTCTTCTCATGTTATTCACGAACACTGCAAACTCATGTTTAACGTAGGAAACAAGAAATAGATAAATATTATGATTCATAATTTAACTAATAACTGTCGTCTTCAAGGAGAAATAGAATGGTTTTACACGAATGTGTTTATTTAGGATCAGACATTTTTTCTATAATAATTTATTGATGGATGATATTACGCGTTCAAGTTAATGTAACAGTTACTCAGACATGCAATCTAAATGAAAATGGTTATTGTTAATAAAATCTACTAATTTCTGAACTTCAACTCATTGATCTGACTTTTTAACGATCATTATTGATCACTGACATTCAGAATTGACCTAACTGTTATCTTTTGTATGGGAAAAAAATGGTTATCAAGTAACTTGTTATATTTATACATAATTTATTGCTTCAATTTTAGTTAACAGTTATAGAAATGTGCTAATATAAAATTACGCAGAAACATGTTCACTGTTTGATAAAGACG